CTTATCACTTTTTGAGACAGTTGTTGCTAAGTCTCCAAGGTTAAACTTGTCCTCCTCCTGCTTCAGCCTACCAGAGTGCTGGGATTACAGCCAAGAGTCATCATGCCTCGCTAATATCACTGTACTATTTTTAAATTCAACTTTTCTTCGTTTTATTTATGTGATGCTGGAGATAAAATCCAGTACCTTGTACATGCTAGGCAAGTGCTTTACCACAGAGCTATACCCTCAGGCCCAAATGTATTTTTTTTTTAATTTCATTTATTTATCTATTCATACATTCACTCACGGTTTTTTTGTGTGTGTGTTTTTGAGATAGGAGCCTCGACACACTATGTAGCCCAAGCTGGCTGTAAACTCATGGTCACTGTGCCTCAGCTGCCTTAGTGCTGGGATTACAGGCATGCACCACTATACCCAATATTCTTTTATTTTTCAAGATTTAGCTTAATAAGATTTCATACCACAGACTTTTGCAGTTTTCAAAGTTCTTTCCCATGCATTATCCTATGAGGTATACAGAACTCTGAAAAGTAAGCTTTATCATTTTAATATTACATGAAAAAACTTTAAAAATTAAGTGACTTGTCTACAGGTGTCACAATAGTGGCAAAGCAAGGTCTTCCAAGGCAAGGTCCAGAGCACTTCAGAGCCCCTGGTGTTCTCTGGTTGTCTCAGATGAAGATGCGGTAGCAGAAGGAAACTGTTAGCAGGACAGGGCCAGAGGTGTAGCCATAGGTAAGTCAGAAGCTTAAGGAACACCTTAAGTTCACTGCCCAGTGTCAAGAGAGCTATGATATGATCAATGACCTGTGACTCCCCCACCAAATTTTAGCATTTAACTGGCAACAGAACAACTGATTCCATGTCTCTTCTCTGATCACTTAGGAGAGCTAAATAGAAAGACAAACAGGCAAAGAAAAGGCTCTAAGCTTCCAATAAAAGTTTACTTACAGTTATTTGTGCACATCTTCTTTAAACTGAGTCTTTTTGCTAAAAATTGTATTAATGCAAAGAAAAGGAAACTGACTTTAATCCACTTGTTATCAGAAATTTTGACTTTGAGAGAGGCAATGAAAATTGCAAGAGTTTAAATTTCAGCAAGACCTATCCCTAGCAGTAAGACTGTGGGAAAATGTCTTTAAGCTTCAGCTTTATCTCATAGGGTGGTCTAGCCCCAATCAAAGCAGTTAATTCTGTCTCCATGTGTGTAATGTTCTTTATCATCTCATTGGGAAAACAAACCTTCTTAAAATGGAAAAGCAACACAGTCTACTAGTATACTATTTTTGACCAGCGTAACTCCTAAATGCTAGTTTGCTTTCTTGGTAAATATAACATTGGATAACTTATAAAACACATAATAGCACCTCTGTGGACAAAGCATGTTCGCACATGCAGCTACTTTTCACATGCAGAGAATAAGAACCTAGAATCACGCAGGGTGCCTTTATGTCACTGTGGGATGGGATGTGTAGTTTTATCAGGATGGAAGAACCATGCCTCCAGACCCCACCTGTGTTTGAACTTGGTCCTTAACCTCAAACAATTCTGCCCATCCCACAAAAAGTGGTAAGGTCTCTGCTTCTCATTTCCAGAGTGCAACACTCTATGTTACGTAGTTACCTGTTATTGAGATACACATACACGGAAAACTGAGGTTAACTTGAGAACACATTAAAAAATAAAATCTTGGTACACTTAACAGTTTAAGATGGATGGGCTTTCACAAAAGTCAACTTTACATAATACACACACACATAAAATTTAAATTAGAGCAGCACTTAGGCCCTCCACAAAAACCTGTCTTTCCATCCCATCCAATCCAACACTTATAGCGTAACCATTGCTAAGAACCATTGCTATAACCATTCTGAGGCATAGCTTTCCATAACCCTTCCCTTGAAAAGAATGCATACATGTGTTAAGCTGTTGGATCTTTAGTGGAATATTATATAAAATATTTTATAGCAGTCTAAATGCCACCAGCCTTACTTTACAACATATAGTCCACAGCATGTAAGTAGCAGCAGCTTGATCATCTAAACTGGAATGTCTGACAGATGAATAAAGAAAATGTATTTATACACAAAGGAGTGCTACTGTGCCACAAAGAGATAAACTTGACATACACCCACAGTTAGATGCAACTAGAGAACATGACATTAAGGCAGACACATAAGCTTTTTTTTTTTTGGTATGGGGATTGAACTCACAACCTCATGCTTGCCAGGCAGGTGCTTATGCCACTGAGCTAAACCCCTGGCCTGACATGTAAGCTTAAATAGCTCATTTCTCTTACACAAGAAACTACACACACATATATGTGTAATACACATATATAAACTACATCTATATAGAGAGAGACAGAGTGAGAGCGAGAGAGAGAGAGAGACAGAGAGACAGAGAGAGAGAGAGAGAGAGACAGAGAGAGAGAGAGAGAGAGCGCGCCCATGCAAAACAGAGGAAAAAGAAGTAAGGAAGATTTTTTCAAATGGATGAAGTAACAAGAGATGGATCAGGGAGGTGAAAAAAAGAAAGGGAAAAATGGTGAAAATAGAGCTTTTGCAAATGGAAGTGTTGGAGGGAGTGGGTAGCGACGGAGAGAGGGTTAAAAACTGAAATCTGACAGATTTAACAAGGAATTTTGCTGGTCGTTATTCCTTTCCAGCTGCTCCTCACTTAACTAACCTGGTAAATAAAAGGCCATCCCAACAGATAATGAAGGAACTGGTGAATGGGAAAACCCAGACACTCCAACCTGACCTTGCTTTGGACAGTTAATAGCACTCTGTTGCTTTGGGTGTTAGGTCTGCTGAAGGGTAGACAAGGTGAACCAAAAGGAAGATATTTTCTTTGCATTATATCAAGTTATTGCTAAAATGGGAAATGAGTTATTACTGTGGGAAGTATATGTTCTTTAAAAACCACCAGCAACATTTGGGTGTTACAGTTATACAAGTTTCTATATTAATCACTTAAACATCAGAATACTTTTCTGGATTGGATCATCCAGTTTCTTGAAAGGGATCCAAAACTTTTGCTCTAACTTTTTTGTTTGAATGCTGGTCCTAGGAGCTTAGTATCTAACCATATGAAAGAAAAAAGACAATAAATATTTTCAGGGGAGCATACAAAGCCTTTTTTACTCAATAAATGCAACTATTTCTTAAGAACACATCATATAAAATATGATTTTTACCAGAGTTCTGAATTCCAATTAGACACCAGGAACAGGCCCCCTTCTAGTCTGTGGCACCCTGCAAGCTCTTCCTACAATCCCTTCCGTCCTCACATACATGAACACAAAATGTAATCAGAAAGTCAACTAGCTGAGCACTAAGGCAGCACCTTCCTTTGGCATGAACTCTGGGGACTCGGCTTTTAGGAAACAGACAGGATCTCAGAGGTTGCAGTGGAACTGAAGAGACAATGACTAAGTCTCTCCACAGAGGTAGTGAGCAACACAACTCCAGGTCTAGAACACAGGCAACCGAGCTGCAGGGCTTGGGGATGTTCATAACAGGGGACCTGAGAGACATTCAGTAATACGGCAGGTGTAATAGATATTTATTCCTTGGGACAAAATGGGAGAAACATGCATACAATCTACTTCCTGCCCTTGAGCCTTTTTATTAGGTAATTAAAGACAAGCAACTACACAATGAAGTGGGTCATGTGGAAAGCCAGTCAGGTATTTATTACCCTAGTTACTGTACCTAGAAGTTGAATACCAACAAGCTGAGTATATTCTGGTCGATCTAAACTTTCCATAGCACTCCCTTGAATATAGCACCTTATACCTTTTTTTGGAGTACAGCCAGGGAAGGTGGTCTGGCACAAATGTAGCCTGTGGATAATCAAAAGCCTGGAAATTTCTCAGAAATAGAGTATTTCTTAAATGTATGCTCTCACCACTAGGAGTTTTTAAACAACATGAATAGTCTCTTAAATGAAACTATTTCTTGTATCTATAGGAGCAGAAACATCACTTCTAAGCACTGAGATCTCAAAATCTAAACTCAAACTGAGCGTTGGTCAGCCACAGAGGGACTCTCCTCAGCTGCTGATCCTGAAAGAGCAGATACTCATCTGCATTCTGACTTTATTAAGAAAAACAAGACACATACATATATTTTCTTAGAAGCCGCTTTACAATTTAACTTCCTGTTATCCTACTTATCTGAATGAGACCCGTTTACAAGGATACAAAGTTACTGTGAAAAGCCTCCAGTTCAAGCTGTATTCTGCTCCATGGACCTAAATTAAGAACCATAAGGCAGTATTGCTTTCTCTATGTATTCTTCTCTCTCTAACAAATGCAAAGATTCTTGAAAACAGACTATTAAGAGTGTCAGAAAAAATTGTACAAATTCTGGTTTTAGGGGTCTTTCCAAGAATGAACTCATTAAGAAATGTAGTATAATTTAATTGTGCCATACTGTTAGAGAAATGAAAAATAGCACTTTGTGTTGTGAAATATATTTCACACATATTAACTTGATGAAATTAATGCCATTTTAGCACACACAGTTCTTTATTATTAAAGCTAATAATAACATGGGCAAGTAAGTTCCATAGTTTTGTGAAAAACTGAATGCATCATTGGATAATCAAGTTCATTAAGAAACTTTCATATGCTTACAGGCCAGAGTGTTTCATAAAATGCCAAGTTTTGCTATCAATAATTTAAACAAAAAGTTTAAGTATTACCTGGCATTCAATTTAATCTACTTACTACTACTGTTCACTAACTTCTATTGTGATTTCAATACTGGTAGGATGAAGATAAATATAGAAAGCAATAATTCTCAATCTGGTTTAAAGAAGAATATTCAACCAATTTAAATCAGCCTTGGAAATCTCTCAGAAATAGAATATTTCTTAAGTGTATGTCCTTCTCCACCTAGAGCTTTTACACAAAATGAAGTTTCTCAAATGAGAACTAGATGTTCAGTGAGCAGTGCAAGCACATAAAAAAATCAAAGATACCATTAAAATGCAAGTTGGTAAACAGGCATTACCTATTTAATAAGTACAATATATACATAAAATCGTCTTTAAAAGCTTCATTTTATACAGAATCACATTTACATAATGAACAGTGTAATCAAATTAAAAGATTATTTATACAATGCACACTGTATGTACTCTGGAAGATAAATCAGTTTTGTCATCACAGTCGAGATGGACAGCCAATATGCATTTTTAAAAAGCATTTCATTCCAGAAGGGTACATTTTAATATGCAATTTTATTTTTCATTTCTTTTCCTAAAAACTGATGTTTGCATACTTTTTCAAATATTTCTCCTGTTCAGCTTGAAAATTTTCAGATTTCTAGTGCCACCAACTGGTATTAGTTAAAAATAATTTGTGTCAAAAAAGAATTGTTTTGTTAAAAAAGAAAAGTTACTGAAAAATAGACTACTAGAGTCAACACTTATAAGATATGAATGACAACATAATTTATAAAAATATTTCCACCAGGGTACCATATATTACATTTACAATTTTTAATTTTTTCTCTTAATGATAAATCTTGGTCTAAATCCATACATAAAAATCTTTAGAAAAAATAACATACTGCAAAACAAAGTTTGGAAACATGCATGACAATACAAATTTATCTTTGTGAGAATTAATAATTTACTAAAATGGTAAAAATCTAAAGTCATTTTATGATCTTTGGATTTTTCTCCTTTATGAATAAACAAACTATGACAAAAGTTAGGAAATACACAGAACCACTACGAAAGCAGCAATTTTCTTTCAATACGCATTAAGCACGGAGTCAGTTTCCAAAGCTTCATGCCAGAATGGGATTTCTGGGCCACTGCTGCCCTAGGTAGATTAATTCTCTTCTCAGCCCAGTAAATCAGGGATGGGGCATGAGTTATAAAGACCCAAAGTCCTGCTCCTACTGCCTCCTAACTATTGTCATTAGACTAGAAGCTCCTTGAGGACAAGAAGTGCACTGTGGGGGCTGGGGGTTTAGCTCAGCGGCATAAGCACCTGCCTTGCAAGCAGGTGGTCGTGAGTTCGATCCCCGGTACCGATAAAAATGAAAAAGACAAAAAAAAATAAATAAATAAAAAATAAAAAAAAAAAATAAAGAAGTGCAATGTGTAGTCTGCTTATCAATATAATCACTGAACCAGTGCGGTGCCTGACAATGGTAGGTTTTCAAAGTGTTATTAAGTGAATAAATAACATGATCATAATCTGACTAAATCACTTTAAATGGTTACAAAGATATGAAACAAAAACAAAAAATATTATCAAAGTTCAAATTCTTTCTTCTCTTTAACACCAGCCACCATTTTCAATCCTTTAAAACTGTTTTAGCAGACTAAAATTTGAAGTGATATGGGAAAAAGGAAGTCACACCAAACATTCACTTTCAAATTAAAACCTATTAAATGTATACATATATACACACAAAACATTTTCTGCTCAAAGACACTGAAACTAGACAAAATGGACTTTGAGGCATACAATAATGAACATACTGAACGAATTTCTCCACAGGTCTCTGGTTTACCCCCGTCATCCTATTTTTCTCCCCACATATTCAGTAAAACAACACTGAAGGCCCTTTAAATCTTTACACTAGGAGTTGTTTGTGAATCACTATAGAAGCAGGTATCTCTGAAAGACGCATATTTTTGTACATTATTTTGCTCAGTTTTGATCCATATACAAAAGAATGCAGTACATAGTGAAGAAGAGAAAGTATTCTCTTCAAAATTTTTCTATAGTTTCTTTAATTTATGAGGGAAAAATGGAATACAGTCAAAATATGGCTTTGAGTAACTTTCTTCTAAGATTGTTTTATCATCAAACTTCTCTAAGTAGATCATGGCAGAAATATTAATACTGGAATTTTCCTTTTTTGTCTGTAATAAATGTATATATTTATAAAAGTATACAAGCATAGGACATGATGGATCTGATTACTTTTTGGTTTCCTATATATACTTTGTGCCTTGGAGAAAAAAATTATAATTTATAAATCTGTATCGCATGAGAAACTAAAAAGGTTTAATACATTTCTGACTGTAGTAGAGTTCATGAGTTTTAACAGTATGTCCAGAAACAAATGGGAAAATAATTGATTTTATTGCACTTGCCCTCTTTTTATTTTGATAAATTATTAATAAAAAATCAAGACACATTAAAAAGACATACTTTTTACATCTATTTTAAAAATAAAACATCTTTGCGTACTTTCACTCTGAAGTAAAAAGATACTTGTTTTTGAATGACAGCATATAACTCAATACACAGAAAAAGACACTACATAGAATCACCTAATTTTTAGCAAATTATCTTTTTAAACAGTGTTAGGCTGATCTTTTTTAAATGTTAAAACATTAAAAGGATATTGCCACCATGAGCTCAACTTAACAGGCCCTACAATTTTTTAAAGGCTTCACCCAAAGCTCATGTCTCTTCATTGTGGGGTGATCTCAAACAGAAATGAGGCTTCTTGCAGCATCTGCACATGAGCCACGGTAGCCTAACAGACACTTAGTCTAATATAATGTAATGTGAAAGAAATCCTGATAGGTGAGAAATAATAAACGGTGAGAAAAATTCAACAGCAAGTATTGATATGGCAAGATTTAAGTGTACATCTTAAATAAATATTGTAAAAATCTAAGAACATGCAAAAACTTGGCCCTAAAATTCTCTTGGTTCTAGATATATAATTATGTTACAAATAAATATATTAAAACACCATATTTGGGGGAACTGTACGATTGCCGCACCGTAACATGTAATTAACTGTCAATAGTGAAGAATTGATGCTTAAATGAAATGATTAACTGTGCCATATGGTGGTTTCTCTTGGGAAACAGTTTCTTCATACATATCTTAAGCACTATTATTTTTATCTTCATAAATGTCAGTATAGCATTAAGTATTTCCATTTCAAAGACGTATTCATCTCCCTGTTCTGGATCTACTTCACATTTTAAAATAGAACTGAAGTCCACAGGAATTTTCTAAATATGTATGTTATTGAAAATAACATTTTAAGAAACTAAAGATTTTTAAAATTCAATGATTAATTCAATCCAAATCTGAAAAAAATATATCTAAGACAAAGAAAGAAAACTGCCAACAAATGCGTTTCCTGTAAAGTTCAGTTTTCATTAAAATTAAAACTGAATGATTTAAGTACTTAAGTGCATCTCTCAAACACAGCCATATGTTATACTGGAGTGTCAAAATAGAAAAAACGTGGAATTTTTAAGTGTTTTGAGACAAGGTTTTGCTGCATCACCCAGGCTGGCCCCAAACTTCTGGGCTCAAATGATCACATCTCAGCTTCCTTATAACTGGGACTCTAAGCATGTGCCCCATAGCCAGGTCAAAACATAAAAACTGATATCATTTCTGTAGTTTTCTTGGTGTTACAGAAATAGTGAATTACTGAATGACTAATCTTTTCGTGCATATTTTTAAGGTGAATCATTACTGATATATATTTTAAACGGAAGAAATATGGAGAAGGGGTTTTCAAAGCCTTCGTAGTAATGGTAAGCACTTCATATGATTATAAGAAATTACATCATTTAGATTCAGTGACAGGCTGTTGTAGTACAACCATATAAAAACAAGTTTCATCAAAGCTTACATTCTTACAGTATACACAACAATGCATTCAGTTGTAAAAGGATACTTTTTATACAGATGAAGCAAAACAAATTTTTGACTAGATGACACACAAAGCAGGGAAGTTTCCAACAATACTGGTTAGTGGCACCTGCTCCAAGGTGGCTTCTGCCTGTTTGTATTAGGTTTTTTCAGTTCTTTGTTCTAGTTCATGCTGGTGTTTAATAAGACGTTCTATTTCTACTCCAAGTGTCTGTAGATTTTCCTTTAATAATTAGGAGGAAAAAGAGAGAAGTACAATAAAAAGATTGAACTATTTTTATCTGACTTTTGAAACTTCTGAAAGTGTTGATTTGTTGTAAATGCAGAGATAAACTAGACATATGTTATGGCAAAGTCGGAATGTCCATTTCAAAGTCACATTTAATCTTTTTACTGCAGCCATAAAAACCTTTTGTACATGCAATTATTAGCTACAAAACTTAAAAATTATTATTAAACCCAGTACTATCAAGGCCCATACATAGCAAAAATAGATTACATTTTGGCAATTAACTCTAATATAATGTATGCCAGAGGCCATCCACCCAAGTAAACAATTCATCTTCGTGTCTATATAATAGCGAAACTGATTTCATTCTAAAAAATGTACTTTTTTTCCTTTTTTAAAAATTTTATTTAAGGAGAAAAAGAAAAAAAAGCAAAAAGGGTACAAGTTATATAGAATTTCAGAAAAAATATACAGTAGGAAATCACTAGTTAATAGATTACATATTGTCATCTTAGAAATAGTTGTTCAAGTTACAAAATTAAAGCATATAAAGTGGACATTCAAACAGTGAGACTGCGAACAGTTCTGTTCAATGATCCAACAAAACTCAGTAATATGGTTATCTATCTTATACACTTAAATATACATGCAGTTATATCCTTTAGAGCACTTTCTTTTCCTCTCTTTTGTACTATGATAATTACACATTTTGGGTTTTATTGCTCCCACAGTTCTTATTACTTAAAAATGTACTTTTTAAAAGAGAGAAACACAAAAATTTTATCTCGGGGTAGGACAACTGTCTTGTATGACAGAATTAGCTAAGTGCTACATGAGACTGTGAAAGAGGTGCCATTTATCATGTTTACCTACTAGTAAGAGAATGAAAAATACAAATACCTTCAAAGTAATGTTTTTTAGTAAAGTATCCTCCAAAACAGCCTGTAACTTTCGATTGATTTCCAAAGACAGTTCCAGTGTTAATCCACTATCAGCAGGATGGGATGTATATAAAGATGCCATAATGCCGCCTCGTCTACTTAAATGGACTTTGTTAAAATCAGATGCCTCTGAAGAAAGAGTGCCCGATTCTTCTCGTAAAATATAACTCTGAATTATTCTGCAAAACAAGAGGACACTATCAGATGTGGGTGTACAGAATTAAAAATAGTGGAATTTGCAAGAATGATAACCAAAAAAGAAGCACTTATAAGCTAACAAGCTAACTATTTTAGAAAATCTTATACAAATGTTTGCTTAAACTATCCCATCTGTCCTATCACAGAATTTAGATGAAAGATACATAAACATTGTTTTTCTGTTTTTCTCTTAAAATTTTATATGTTCCTATTATTAAACATATCTATCTACTTACCTACCTATCTATCATTTATGTTTTTTGAGACAAGTCCAGGTTGGCCTTGAACTCACTATGTAACACAGGCTGGGCTTAAATTTGAGATCCTCCTGCCTCATCCTCCTGAGTTCTGGGATTACAAGGATAAGCCACCACACTCAGCTACTTACTTTTCTTTAAAAAGTCATGGACAAACATTTCTTTAAGTTTAAAATTTTTTTAAACTAGAAATTAAAGAGGCTTAGGAAAAGAACTGTAACACAAAACTATCAATTATTATTTAAAAGAACATGATATTTGTGAGAGGAATTTGGCCACAGTACAAGTTCTGAAGTCAGAGCTGAGTCAGAATCTCCTGCTCTAGGTGTGTCTCTTACAGGATAAATGGCAAACCTAGTGATTGACCTGGACCCAATGCACTTACTGTAAAATCAGAGAACTCATTTCTTTACTGAATGGTTGCAAGGAGTAAATCAGATAACATATAGCCACAGGCCCAAAGAGTTGTACTAATATGTGCTCAATTAACTTCCTATTATGCCTGCAAAACAAAAAATGTCTAAACTTGTATCTCTTTCAGACTCAAATTTATAAAAATAAAAAATTAAAGCACTATCATTTTAAAATCCAAAATTGTTATAAAAAATTAACATGTCCTGAACTCTGTATCATACTGAAGGAAAGACCTGTGTTTTCTTTCATCTCTGTATTCTCAAAACCTAGAATAGGTGATCATAAAAGGTTAGGAGCTGAGTGACTATAAAAATTAGTAAGCCAGGAAAGGTAGCATGTTTGTAATGTACTTGCATTCCCAGCTACTCAGGAGAGTAAGGCAGGAAGAGGCTGAGATCAACCTGGGCAGCATGACAAGATCTCACATACCAAAAAAAAAAAAAAAAAAAATCCCAAAAATATATCATTTGAAACTTAGGCTCTTGGTGTAATTAATTTTTAAAATATTAACCTTACTATGTAAAAAGTAGTATTTTGAATACAGAGTACACTACTGTAATAATACATACTTTGTTTTTTTCCTAATTTCTTCCACCAATTGTTTGATGTGGTCCTCCATGAACTCTATCTTTTCATTTTTTCGGGCATGTGCTTTCTGCAACCTAACTATTCTCTCAATCAACATGGCCTTGTCCACTTCTGGGAAGTTATCCACAGCCACTGATGAACCAGTATTTTCTGGAGATCGATCTTCTGCACTGCTCCGAGCATTAAGGGAACCTGAACACAGGAAGGAAGGAAGGGGAGGGGAGGAGAGAGAACAGAAGGAAGAGGGGAGGGGAGGGGCAAAGGCAGGGAAGGGGAGGGCAAAGAGGATGGGGAGAGGAAAGGAAGAGAATAAATAGAAAGAAAGAGGGGGGTATGGAAAAGGAAAGGAAAAGAAAACCAGTTTAGATACTGTATGTAATCTAGAGTCATCTTTTGTCTTATACCTGAGAGACCTGGCAGAAAGACCCTTTTGTACTTTATCATCATTATATTCAGAAGCAAGACCTCAGATTCATTAATGACCTGTAGTGTGTTCTACAGCCAATCAGTTATAGTGAATATTTGAAACTGATAGTGGAATAAATAATGTATGGGATATGGCAACAGAGAAAGTCAGAACAAGAATTGTAAAGTGAGATCACAAGTAAAGGATATGTCACACCTTGGTGGTAGTTCTTCTCGAATTCATGATGAGTGCCCCAACTGTTGAGTATCAAAGGAATTCTTCCCATAAAAAATAATGTAATTAGAATTAACTTGTGACAAACTTTCATATTTCACTGGGATGATAATAACTTTTGACTAATGTATGTCTTTTAGCTTCAGTGATACCCTAAGCTTTTTATGACCTATACCTAGCACTTAAAGTACAAAAAGTACATGATGGAATTTGTGGGGGCTCTACACTACTTGACAGCTACCCTATGCCTGAAGCAAGTGGCAACATTTTTTCTCATCTAAATGGAGGGTGAACTGGGTTTGACACATATTGAAGTTGACAAATACAAAGATATGCCTGTATAAAGGAGACAGAAAAAATTATGGGAGAAAGGAAGGAATGTGAGAGAAGACAAAAGTGGGTTAAGTTTTGGAGCTAGACTGCATAAGTTCAAATTTTAATACTCCCCTCATTAAGCTTTGTGACTCTGGGCAAATTATTTTGAATTGAATGTCCTGGTTGTTTCATCTTGAAATGTGAATAATATTATTATTAATCTCATATGATTGTTATATGCATTTAGATGAATTAATCTGAGAATTTAGAATTGTGCATACAGTAAGCCTTATATGAGATTTATAAAATCTCACTGATTTTACCAACATCAGTGAGAAGAATTTCTGTTCTTTACCCAGCAAACCTTTGCTTAAAAGTCTCATTTTAACTGCTTCTTGGCCTTTAGGCTAAGACCAAGAGTAGTAAAATCTCAGTTTATAAAGACAAGTAATACACTTGTAATACACTCAACAGTACACAATTAATAAATGGGATCCGAAGACACAGCGGTAACTTCAGATCTGTGCTTCCTATCACACATTTTTTCCACTACTGTAGTAGCTGATGTTTTGCCCCCTAATGTACAACTCCTAGGAGACCGTATAGCATAATGACTTAACAGCATGTGTCTACTCAGCTGGTCCTTCCATAACCATGAGTACATCATCTATGCACTCAACCAACCAGTTTAAAAAACTGTGCCTTGGGCCAGGGACATAGGTCAACAGTGTTTGCCTAGCAAGTACAATGTCCCGAGTTTGATTCCTGGTACCAAAAAAACCAAACAAACAAAAACAAAAACAAAAAAAACCTGTGCCTATACTTAACTTGTATAGGTTTTTTTCCTTGTTACTATTTCCCTAAGCAATATAGTGTTGTTAAAATCACTATGTTGCTAAAATCACTTAGAAATAAATCACATAGCATTTACATTGCATCAGATATTATAAGTAACCTAGAGTGATTTAAAATATATAGAATGATGTGTATAGGCTATGTGCAAATATTACATCATTTTACATCAAAGATTTGAGCATCCGATTATGTTGGCATCCATAGGAGGAGGGTCCTAGAACCAATTCTCTGAAGATACTAACTATACAAAAATCTGATACCACATAATGATGATCATTTCATTACTTCTTAAGGTGTTAAAATATAAAAGAAAAAGAGGGTTTATACTACACCAAAACTCTCTGGATGGATACAAAGCTACCCTATAAAATTTAGATATTAAATATTAGATACCCTGAAATTTAGATATTAAAGTTGTAGTAGAATAAAAGAGATGCAAATCATAAAAAAGAAAGACATCATACAGTAGACCATGACAAACGTGAAATCCTGGATAAGGATTAGAATTTAAACATTTAATGATACATTCTTATAATTATATACAACTCCTACTTTTCAAAATGAACAAAGCATACCATTCTTTGAAAAACAACTTCAAAATGAAACAAAGTATATTACTACTTTTAAAAACAAAAAATATAACATTTTTATAATTACTAAATAATTAAAGCCATTAATTTTTACCTGATGAACTAGAACGACTTCCCATGCTGCTAACTTCTTTATCATAGCTTCCATTCTCAATCTGATCTAATTTTCTTCGTGCTATAGAAAAAAGAAATAGATTACTTATGACAATTATCATGACCATTTGCCCTATCATCTCTGATTTTGAGCTGCTAAAATCACTTAGGCAAAAATCACATAGAAAATGAGAAATTTCTTTAATACATACCTGAGACTGAAGGCTGCAGGTAACATTTCTATAAGACAACGTTTATGAATATATAGCTCAAACACAAAGAAATTGCATTATAGTAACTGACTCTGACATCACTAAGTTACTCTGAATTTAAATTTTAGAGCTCTGATTTAGAAGATCCTTCTAGTATTAGAGATTTTCTCTAAATTTCCCTTCAACTATACTCATAAAAAAACTGCTTATAGCAAATAGCTGAATATATTCATATTAAATTATGCTGAGTATTTGACGTCATTTTGCCGTATTTTAATACAAAGCAGTAGAGAACAGTAAAGAATGGAAAAATGAAATTTTATGTCTTACTCATCTTTGTATTCCAAACACATAGCACAAATACTCAAGAATTTTAAATGACAGAAACCTGGGTTCCAATCTTATTTGTCAACTGTTATGCTCATGTAATCTGTAACTTTTCTGGATCTGTTTCCTGAGAACTATAAAGTGATCTCCAAGTTAAAGGTAGGCAAATTGGGACCCAGCTACCCCAAACACTGCACAAATCAATTCCTCCCAGGCATGTGTCAAGAGAAAATAATGGAATGGGTTTTATATTTAAAGACAGATCTTTTAAAATTAAATTTCTGTTTCCTTTTTTGAGAGGAAGGGTAATAGTGTTGGGAACTGAATCCAGAGCCTTGGCATTGAGCTACATCGTCGGCCCTTTTTTTCATTTGAGACAAGGTCTTACTAAGTCACCAAGTTGTCTGAGTTGGCTCGAACTTGTTATCTTCCTATCTCAGCCTTTTACCGTACTGGGAGAGGTGTGTGCCACCATGTCTGTCTCTAAATTTCTATTTTTCTTATGTTTTCTAATACATAAAATAGAATAATACACATTTAAAGTTTATTAAAAAACACACAAATTGGATAAAAATCCTTTTTAGTAGAAAAGATAGCAATTTACAGAATTGCAAGTTCAGCAATTTGGTCTATGAAAATTAATACATTAAAAGAACACATGGCTGTAATCAATGTGGTAAAACCTAAAATATTTTTCTCAGTGAAATTTTTAATGAATAAAAGAAACAAACACATTCAATGTACAAGTGGAAGAATTTTATACCTTGCTGAAGTTGTTTGGTAAGATCCTTGATGTTAGAGGCTTGCTTACGTCTCTGAGTTACTAGTTCATCCTTCAATTCTTCTACCTGGATACTCAGGGCTTTAACATCTGTTTGTCTACATGTAAGTTCAGTTTTCAAAGCCTGGACTTCCTCTTTCCGTAGTTCTTCCTCTTTTAGCAAGTTACTTTCCTGAATATTAAGTAAAATAAAAAACACCAACTTTAATCTTTGTTCTGATTATTTCTCACTTTAACACTAGAAACATAAAGTCCAGAGCTTCATCCATTATCCATGTCAGGTTTTATTCACTGAACTTCCCCAAATTCTCATACTTCAAGGGCACATTAATGGATGTGCCATTCTACATATGCAAAACAACATACAATATAAGGCTTTGAACTTCTGGTGTTTAATGAGAAATTATTTTCTGAGAGAAACTTAAAGACACTCATAACCTGGAACTCTTACATATTTAAAAACCCAGAAATTTTGATTACTACCTTTTGAAAAACAACTATTTTGGTTAGGAACAGCAGATCTCATAGTATTCTTATTTTTGCTTTTTTTTTTTTTTTTAATGGTACCAGGGATTGAACTCATGACCGCCTGCTTGCAAGGCAGGTGCTTATGCCGCTGAGCTAAATCCCCAGCCCCAGTATTCTTATTTTTAAAAGTGAAATATTCTTTATCATTTTAGGGAGAAATTTTAATCCTATCAGTTAAAAGAAAAATTAGCATTTTTAGAGCAGTTGAAATTATCAGAAAGCTCCAACAGAAAGGGGTTAAAATTACTTATAACTACTTTTTTTATCTTTTTGAGACAGGGTTTCACTATGCAGTTCAGGCTCCCTTGAACTCATTTTGTAGCCCAGGCTAGCCTTGAAATCACAGTGATCCTCCTGCCTCAGCCTCCTGGATGCTGGAATTACAGGTATGTGCCACCATGCCCAGCTCTATAAATACACTTTTATGCTGTTAGGGAAATTTAATCTATGCTTCTTACGGTGTTGTTTTAAGAATTAAATGATCATTTATACTTACCAAATTAATGTTTATTTGTTTCATTTGTTCACATTGGCTTTGTAACTGACTTTCACTACAAGAAAGCTTATCAAGTTGGGACTGCAAAGAATTGGATTCAGACTGAAGCTGTGCATTCTTACTAGTGAGTTTTTCAGTAAATAGCAGGAGCTCTGATTCTCTTTTCCTACTGCCTTCAATGTCTTTTTGCAGGTCATTAATCAAAGAATTAAGACTTTCCACTTCGTCCTTCAAATTTTCAATTTCTTGTTTACCTCTAAAAAACAAAGTTTATATTAAAAAATTATACTAAAAAGACATTAACAATTTTGAATTTTTCACTGAGTAAAATGTTTTCCAATGGTACTTTTAATTCATATATCCAAGTACTTATGAATGTCTAATGTCATGATTAGAACTAAGATCCAGGAATATAAGTAAGCAAGGCCAACAAACATGGCACCTGCTTGTAGAAAGCTTTTAATCAAGTAGGAAAATTGTAAGTATGATAAATGACCTATGATGGTGAAAACAGTACAGGTTATATAAGCTTGTCACTGAAAATGACGCTTAAATTAATACTTAAGTAGACTGCATAACTTTTTCCTATAAAAACTCAGACTGTAAATAAATTAGGCTTCTGGGCCACATGGATTTTGTTACAACAGTCCACTTAGCTACTGCAGTATGAAAGCAGCCATGGACAATACAAGAACATGTATGGTTATGTTCCAAAAAATATATGAAAAGAGGCGGTGGGCTAGACTAGGCCTGTGGGCCACTGCTTGGTTAACCAGGACCTAAAGGAAAGGTAGGAGTTAATGAGAGAACAAAATACGTTCTGAGGAGTGGGAATACTATGTGCTAAAGCAAGGACGGGAATAAGAGTAGAACATTGGGTTGGTACTAAGAGATGCTTAGTGTTGATAAGGACTTAACAGACACAAAGCACTTAACCTAAGGCTTGCCAAGATCCATAAACATCTATTAACCAAAACACAAGAGCTAAGAAGGAGAAGGAATAAAAGAGGAATAAAAGAAGCAAGAGATTGGTCATAAACCTTAAAAACCATGCTAAGACATGTGATCTCACAAGGTAATCTTTGAGGGAATGGGGAGTCACTAAAAGATTTTTAAGAAAACACCTTTTAAAAAAGATTACTCTAATTATAGTGTAGAAAATTGAGAGATAAAGCAAGTAAAAACACTAGTTTATGAGCTGTGGCAATTGTTCAGGTAAGAGCTTGGATTACAGTAATGACAGTAGAGATGTAAAATGTGAACGGATGTGGACAATATTAAAAAGTTGGTATCACCAACACTTTGTAACTTGGTAGTATGTGAGAGGAAGGTGGAAGAATCAAGATTACACCCAAGTTACTCAGTTGGATAATCACATGGATATTACACTCATCACTTATCCTAGGAACATGAGAAGAAAAGTGTAGCTGTAGGCAGGAAAAAAGAATCAGTTTTGGACATGCTAAAGTTTGAAATATTTTTGATACTTGTATGTTAGAAGCTAAGCAAAAAAGATGAAGACAATGACTCAAAGGACCTGCAACATGTGTGGGGAATAATTGGCATCACTCAAGGGTATGATAAAATTCAAGTAAAAGAGGGCTGAAAGAAAGAAGTTCACCAATGAGAAAGAATGACCAGAGAAGTGGAACAGGAAGAGCCTAATGAAAATAAAGCCAAAGAACAGAATAAATCAAGAGACAATTAAGTGGTGTTAAAAAACAAAACAAAACAAAACCCACTGAAAATTCAGCTCAGTAATGGTGGCTTTTGCCTGTAATTTGAGCACTACAGAGGCTGAGGCAGGGAGATTACCATAAATTTAATCTCTGAATTACATGGTGAGTTCAAAGCCAGCTCCTGTCTCAAAAAAATCAAAGACCTCATGGTTCTGGTATGATAATGCCAGTATAATTGTTATGCTAAGATGTTATGTTTGCTCTTGATTTTAAATTTTCCTACCAAACCACTGAAACTGTCAACATTTCACAAGAATTTGATATCTAAGACAGCTATGATTGCTTAAAAAAGTTCTCTGACTATATATTTCAAAGATCTTAATATCCAGATGAGATTACAATAGCTAAACTTCCTGCTCCCACTTGAATGCTGGTGTAACTGATCTTTTGGATGTTCAACAACTAAGGCTTCAAGACCAAAGTTAGAAAGGTAACTGGGCTAAGAAGACAGTCATTCTCTTGGTCCTTCAGAAATCATGCAATGTGAGACTCTGCCACAAGCTTTAATAACTGGAAGGCCACAATAGTTCCCTGGAACAACTTGGTGGAGAAAGTCCCATTTCTGGCTATCATATTATATACTGGAATTGTTTTCTGTTGCACGATTCATTACTATTGGGGGTTAATGTCTCATATGTCCTTGTTCTCTTTTTCAGACTTTCGAAAAATGAGGGTTCTTCACAGGATGGAACCCATTATTTTATGTCTCCTTTAGATCAGTCAGAAGGACACTTTCAGTCCCTGGCTTGGCAGAGTCAACACCCTTTCCTGAGCTTGAAGCAGTTACATCAAGATGAACCCTCGTGCCTTCTGCGCCCCTTAAGTATATATGGGACTAAAGTCTCAGAGAAGGAAATGAGACAGGGGAGAGGCAACAAAACTAGGTAGAAAGGTGACAAGCACATTGATTTTAAATTTGTACTTTAAGAAACAAAAACTACAGCTCTAGGATACAAGCCTAGTTTTTTTTTCTTCCCTTTTCTTCTCCCCAAACCTAGCAAACCTAGGCAACTCCCTTTCCCCTTAGAAGGGCTTTGGCCATTTCCTTTTTACTTGGCAAATGGTCCTCTTTCATTCATTGTCCCCATGAATGAACCATCCTTCCAGGACTTCCCGTATCACCTCACCATGAGTGGGCTACTCTCCAACCCATTAGACAAGACTAAGATTATAGGTTACTGAATTCCACAGATTTCCACCCCCCATAACACATAAAAGACCCCCAGTTCCCAACAATATCACACCTCATTTCTCTGAGCACCAGCACTCTACTCTTAGAGTACATCTTATAGCTAGCTCTAATAAATCTTTCTCATGTCTCTGAAAATTCAAGGAAGCCGGGGTCTGAGCTATGTCTACTATATAAAAAAAGTATCCATCTTTAATGGTCTGTTGAGGTAGAAGCTAGAATAAAGTGGAGAGAAATCTGCTTCTTTTCACACAGAAGTGAAGAAATACAGAATGGATATACATGATTCTATAAATAAGTACAACTGTAAAAGAAAATAGAAGAATAAACAGGGAAAGGTCACAAGAACTTTGATCTTTTAAACATATATTCATGTTTAAATGTAGAAAGAAAAGTAAGATCAGTGAAGAGATATAAGATAAAGAGTAAAGAAATAATCAAGAAAGACTCGGAAAAGGCATGAGACCAAGGAATTCACAGAAGTAGAATAATTCAATTTAAAGAACATTTCTTCCATAAATTGTTGTAGATGCAGGCAACTCAAAAGACTGAAAACAAGGAAGTTGAGAAAATTGTCATAAGTCAGTGCCCATTTTTTTCTGTAAAAATTAATCAACTGTGAGGATCAAATGGAGGATAAAAGGAAATTTCATTTGTGAGGAAAATGCTAAGTGAAGAAATGGCTTGGAAGATGGGGTAGAAGGCTCTGGTTAAGGACACAAAGTAAGATTACACATGCATTAGTATATTCCTGGTTGAATACAAGGTCCACAAATTTAAAGAAGCATCAATCTGGATAATGACAAGGATACTTTAGCTATAGCAGCGTGGCCATAAGAAAGGTGCAGAAAAAAAGGCGTTATTTGAATTTAACTTGAATCTAGGTTCTAATAGGCAATGCTATGAGCGGAGTTAGTTCAATAGTTTTATGAGAAGCCAAAGAATAACATCAGCTCTTGAGCTGGTAAAGATCTAGATCCAGATATAGACCTTTATCTATATATATATGCAAAGATCTAGATCTACATACAGATCTAGAGTTAACATCTAGGAAAAAAGCAAGCACTGTGGATAAAGAACAGAATTTGAAATCCACTGTTTTATAAATCCCTACTGCTAATGATTAAGGATCATTAGAAGCCATGAAGGAGGGCACAGAGATTATTTTTAAAAGTTTACAAGAAAAAATTTTACAAATTTTAGCTATAAAGCTGTAAAACTTATTTAATACTTTAAAAGTAGAATCTTGAGAAAATTAAAAATATGTCTGTTAAAACAAATAGGCTTTGCCCATTTTATACCTTTGAAGCTGCTCCTGTATTTGATCTGCAATTTTCACTTTGTCCATTAAATTCTGAATTTCAGATTTTTGGCGATTAATTATTTCCTTGTATTTTGATAATTCATCTTCTGTCCTTAATCGTTCATCTTCTAGACATTTTGCCTATCAAATGATCATAATTAAGTTAAACTATAAACAGTATCTTCTTGTTCCTTATAAATTATTTCAAATAGTACTTACATACAATAATCTACACTTAATTCTAAAGCAGCATTATTTCACATGAAGAAAATATTAGTTGTAGGTTTCAGTTTTAGGTTTCTTATAATTCAGTCATGGCTGGTTTAGCATGTCACTTTGTACTTTACTAAATTTAGATTTTCTCATCTGGAAAAAGAATATATCTTCCCTGTATACTTCAAATATCTGACATTGAGAACAGAGGAAGATATATGAAAGACACTAAAAATTAAGTGATCTCAAATTCAAAGTGGTTATTTGAAAGCCTGTTTCAAATAAATAAATGATATAGAGTAATTATATATTGCACTCATATTCACATTAGAAGGGACATTACTCTGAAAATACAGACTATAAATACTGGAGATTTAAGTGTTAGAAATACTGGAGATTAAGTGCTAAGATTATTAAACACATGCAAGAAATAGAAAATCTTCCTATAATTTTCTGATAGTTACAGTTCTAAGGTCCAACTACCTCTCCAACTGATTTGTTGGAAGCACTGCCTTTAGATAAAAGGGTCAAGGACAGGTTACAGATGTAACAAATGTATTATAAATAGGGATGTTTGGTGAATAGTTCAAACGGACTAACAAGAAAGGCACTTTCAACAAAATGTGATTATGTTACTAAGCAATCACTATTCTACTCCGTGTTTTAAATTTCTGAATATCCTTTCCCTACCACTTTAAAAATCAGAGTAAATACAAAATTACAATTAAGTTTTTGACTACCTTTGTTCTCAGCGTACGTAGCTCATCCATACCCTCCTTAAAAGTCCTCTTCAGATCTTCTAGTTCCTTTATTTTGGCATGATGCATCTTCAAAAGAAACCACAAAACATAATGCACTAAACTATCTCTAAAATGCTCCTTTAAAATGACCTTAAAAGCAAATGGCAAAATCAACTCACTCTCTTTTTCTGTATTTAATACATAATCTATAGTACATTAAGGGCAAAACTTCTCACCTCTAGTTGGTCAGATTTTTCTTGCATCTGTTTTTCAAGTTCCCCTTTTGTGACTCTAAGCTTTGCATCAAGTTCATTTGATTTAATTTCTTCTGACTCCTAAAGAAAATTTTAGAAAGTATGACAGTTTAAAAGTTTTACACTAAAAAAGTGAAAAGCTTTGAAATTACTATGAAATACATATAGCTCATATATTTAAAATTGAAGAATATGTTGAAAACACCAATCACTATTCTACTCTGCAATTTTGCATGAAGAATAGTACACATGATAGACAACAACACAGAGTAGTTCCTTTCTTTTGAAATTATACATTTCCTTGCATTCTTTGTCCTTCTGGTATTTTCTAGAAATTCTATTTCACTGAAAATTTCTCTAGTAAGAACCATTTGAGCTGTAGAAACTTTAACAAAGGAAATAACTTGCATTTTATTTGATTTATCGAATCCATATAATTATTAAATATTAAAATATTTCAGATACAGAAATTGAATGAAACCACAGTACTTATAGTTATTACAATTTGTGAAAAACTTATCTGAAAATCCAAGCATACCTGATATGTTTTTATCATATCCTGACAGTTTTGTCGTATCTGATCTGCTTCTTCCTTTGCTTGTGTTAACTTTGTTGTTGTTTCTTTAAGTTTATCTTTGGTTTCCTGCATGGACGAGAAGGATGAAAGTTGGCCACTATGAATGACAAATGGTAAGTGATGATCACAGAATAGGAAAAATTCTTGACTGCACTGACGTATGAATAAATACTACTCTAACAATCATATTTTACGATTCTGACAAAAACTTAAAATGTTTTGCAATTAACTGATAGCCACTAAGTTAAATTTCATACTTTTCAGCACGTTATTACACATTATTTATCTAACACAAAAAGGAGAGCAAAAGTGTTTAACAGTTCATTGCATAAATATAAAAGATATTATTTGGTTCACAGCTGTGGTATTTATTCAAAATGCGTTTTTTATTGATGCTGCAATTTGGTTTCTAATCCTAACCAGACTCCTAAAATAGCAATTTTTAAAGTTTTCAGGGATTACTGTTATCAAATCTACTTTTTCATTTTACTCTTACCTGCTCCAGTTCTGACCACCTCAAACTCTAAATATCTTTCCTCTACTTCCAGGAAGACAATATTCTCCTCTTTCTTCCCTCTTTATTATTTCTTGACTGGGTTCTACTCTTTCAACAATTTTCAAAGATACACCCCTTACCCTGAAGCTCTCTGCAGAGCTCATCCAGCAGCATGGCTTTGGCTATCATACAGATTTCAAATCAGAGTTTCGATATCATCCCCCAGTACTTTCCCCTTCAGAAAATGGCAGATGCTTCCACTCTCTTTCCATCGATAAAAACCAGGGATGTCCTGGATTCTAACAAACTGATATACTACACTATAGCTTATACGCTTCCCTAATTATGTATCCATCCTCCAGACAGCAACTAGCTCAGTGGCTAATTGTAGAATCAATAGAGAAATATCTAATATAAACCTCTACTCCATTTAGGTTGGTATTTCCAACCATTAATAATCATTACCCTTTATTCTTGCTTTTTTACTTGGAATACCTTTCATTTCTTGAGCCATCTATATTGCAGCTATGCTTCACAAAGTAAATGATAAACAGAACCTATAGGTAAAAGATATATCAAGGACAAGTGCTAAGGAATAAAAGTAAAGCAAAGACATGAGAAAACCTGGGGAGAAGGCACTCAAAGTGATATTAGGGCAGTTATGGGAGGTTTCATTAAGAAAGTGATAGATAAGTAGAAGTATGAGCTGAGGGATAAAAGAAAATCAAAGCTTTTGGCAACTGAAAGGATGGAACGTAATTTACTGAGACAGGGAAGCAATGGGGAGAAGCAGCACATTATAAATTCAATTTTTGACATGTGAAGGCTATAAGTCATCCAAGATATCAGAGGCCAAGTAGTTTATATGTGTATGAATCTGGAGTTCTGGCTAGAAGTTTCCAATCTGGAAGTTATTAGAACAGTTTTCTATTGCTATGTTTTCAAGTACATAAAAGTTTGTCTTTTGTAGTGCCTAACCTAGTATTAATTCTACTCAATGTATTTTTCATCGCAAACACTGCATCAACTTGATTTTTGTTTTGTTTTGTTTTTTTTTTTTGTATCTTCCATGTTTCTTCCAAGCCCTGTGTGCGCTCTAAAGATTGTAGGTCCCATACCTGTCTATTCTCTGAAACTATGTGGGCCCTGTGTACTTTGAACTCTGTTCCCTTAATTCAGGGAGACTGTTGGGCTCTGTTTAGGTTCCATCCCTTGTGCTGTAGCCTGGAAATCTCCTGGCATTATACCTCATTTTATCTACTTCATTCAAGCTATTATTCTGTTATTTGGCTTCAAGTCTGAAGACCTTCATTATACATATTTTTTTCAGTTTTTGGTTTTATTAGTTTTCTAAGGGGGCAGGATATTATTCATAATGTAATAGAGTATATTTATCAGAATATAGTTATAGGACAGAATGATTAAAGGACAGAACACATATTATAGCTAAGGGGATAAAAAATGAAAAGGCTAATTTAAAGTGTACTCCAGCTTCTAATCAGTGGTCTAATGAGAAACCAAACCATTTAAGAATGAGACTATTACTGATAACATATTAAGCTTGGGAGAAAAGCACACTGAGTAGCAGAGTCATGCTCTAGAATACCTAAGTAAAAAGAATGCATCATAAACACACCAACACTGACCATGCATTAGTCTGCAATATTGGTATATCAGTCTCTGCTGGCCTTAACATCCTGGACTCCACTCTTCATCTTTCCTGGCAAGTCCCTTCCACTTCAAACCACACTGCTTAACAACGCTAGGTACATTTGTTGCCAGCCAGATCTATGTTTCCAGTTAAGATCACCTTACCCTGATACCAAGCAGGTGAAAATGTAGCAATGAGGTATATAATCAGGAGGAGGAAGTTTTTCTGCACTTATTACATTCAAAATAAAAGGCTTTTTTAAAAAGAAGCTAGGTATTAAAAAAGTAATTTTAGTCAAATACCCAAAGGAATTTTAAGGGAAGGGGTCAGTTTCGATTGTTTGACGTTGGGCTGGGTGTCCAGTCTACCTAATGAAGGCTTCTATTTGGTAATATGCCATTAACAGAAGCTAATGTTCCCAATAGATCCAGTAACCAACAGGACTCTAGTACCTGGTGGACAGAACCAAGAAACAGGAAAGGGAACCTAAAAAAATTTATTAAAAGCCTCAGTCTCTTGACTACCTTTTAGGGGTAGTTCAGACTACACAGATCATGATTACATCTCCTATCTTTTGAGTCACAGACCCCACTCCCATCTATAGATAAACACATAAAATAGTTAAGCACGGGGCCTCTCCCACATACTCTTCAAAAGCAGTGATTCTTTTTCCGTGGCTTTTCTGTTCTCCATATTACCTAATACATACTGTGCACACAGCTGAACACTTGCTGGTTAATAAATGCCTTTAAAAGGAACTTGTAAATATTGTTTCTATAAACTAGACTAATATTGTTTCTTATTTTCACTTTTTAGCAATCTATACCATGTACTTTTATAGAAATCAGCCTTAACCCACCTCTCTAATCTCCTTTCAGAATATCTGGTTTCAACTGACCTCAAAGCTGTCATAAAAAATTTTCATTGCCCATTGTTTGAATATACTGGGCTCATGAATCTTAAATTTTCCACTTTTTAATACTAGTAGTATTCCAGTACACTTTAGGATTCTATCTCAAGACTACAGATGATGGTTTCAAAGGTGTCACAGATTTTGATATTGGAACAAGTACATTCAGATTTTTTTGTTTTGTTTTGTTGTTTTTTTGGTCTTTTGAGACAAGGTATCACCAAGCAGTTCAGGCTGGCTTTGAACTCACTTATATAGCCAGGTCAATCTCAAACTCACAGGAATTCTTCTGACTCAGCCTCCTGAATCCTGGAATTACAGGCATGTGCCATCATGCCTGGCTTATTCAAATCTTAAAGCAACTCAAGCGGTTAAAAATCATTACTGTCCACATGGATTTGCAATTTTAATTCCTTATTCTGAACTCAAACTAAAGGAAAACAAGTATGACTGCCCATTAAGTTCTAGGGATTGTTGCCTTGCTTCTTTCTGGCAGTTCTCTCTCTGCCTTATAGCTTTTTCATACAACTTTGATTAGTAGTTAGTTTACTTCATGCTTGAGGGGAAAACCCTATTCTCTATTCTGTCTTTGACCACTGTCAATATGGACTACTCAGCTAAGCATAGTGACACATGTCTGTAATCCCAGCACTCAAGGCAGTTGAGGAAAGAGGACAGCCATGAATGTTAGGCCAGCCTAGGCTACATACTGAGTTTAAGGACAGGCTGAACTAATAACAAGACCCTGTCTAAAAATAAATAAATAGATAGAGACTACTCTCCCTATAGTTTTCTCTGATAAAATATATAAATAATCCAAAGGCTATCAGTTCTACTGTATCACAAAAAAGTTAAAAGAATTGTTACTTATTTATAAATAAGAATTTATATCTCTTAATAGTAAGAACCTTAATATTATCATCTTTACAAATTTCAAGAGTTCATTTACAAATTGCCCCCACCAAATTTTTTTTTGAGACAGGGTGTCGTTATGCAGTTCAGGCTGGCCTTGAGCTCACTTTGTAGCCTGGCTGGTCTCAAACTCGCAACAATCCTCCTGCCTCAGCCTCCCAAGTGCTGGGATTACAGGCGTGAGCCACCATGCCCAGCTCTCCACCACCAAATTTTGTATATCAAAAATAAGTGTAAAGAACAAGGCAAGTTTGGATGTTAAACCGTGAATAATAAAATTTAACATTTCAAACCATTTAAATCATAGAAAATTTTTTCTTTTCCGTAACTATTAAATATTTAAATACAAATTATCCCGTAGGAGTCACTAAAGGAAACTCCAAGTCCCATTAACTATTAACTGCATTTGCTCCTAAAACTAATTCTAATTATTATTTTACTACATTACATGTACTTACCTTATGCAAATCCATTTCAGCTTTTAATTTGTTTTGTGCCCACTTTACTTTAATGATGTGAGAATTGATATCTTCCTTCAGTTTGTCTGATTCTCTTATGAGTCTAGTCATTTCACCTTCCTAAAATAATATCACTAGGTTATATTTCTCATTTAACACAATCAGCTGATTATTTGTGTATCTTTTATTTTCTTTAATCAGTGCAGTAACACTATGTTTCAGTGCTTATATGACTCATATGTCATGAACTAATTCAAGGTTCAAAGAATAAAGAGCAAAATCCTAAATGCTTTAGTAATCATAAAGATAATTAACATTTTTAAACAACTTGATGTGTTTTAAGCATAAACATACCTTTTATGATTCTTAACAAGCTAACAATAAGGTGAAATATAAACTAAATTGATTTTGCTAGAATTTCTAAAGCTAGTAATAACATTTCTGAATTAAAAGTTAACAATAAGAGCTTTAAATATCTCAATAATAAAATTCTATAAGGCAGAGTCTAAGAAGGATATGTTTATCTGAAGGAAAAAACAAATTATATTCCAATGATTAGTGTTACATTAAGATTCTGGCCAGATAATATATAATTTTGTAAAATTACTTGGCTCTAAAATTATTCACTTTGACACTACTATATTCATATTTTATAAAAATAGTTTCCACTAGAAGCATAAACTAATTTTTCCAATATACAGATTTTCAAAGAAAATTTTTAAAAGACCTGTCAAAATAACATGACACTAGAAGGTAGACTTTAAAGAGATGATGAAGGGGAACCACAGCAGGCCAAGGGTGGGGGGTAATAGGGATGAAAAGAATAAAAATATACTATAGACATATACCGATATACCAAAAAACTGACTATTCATATGTACCAACTAAAAAAGACTTCTATCAAGAAAAAGTTCCCCAGCAAACTTTTTTGCAGACAGGTAATATGATGCTGCAATTTCTGAAACATTCATGTTTTTAGTAGGTAAGCTAAAAAAGTAACTTTATATTTGAGTATTTTAACCCATGTTATTATTTAAGGTAAAGTAGAAAGAATAAATTTCAAATAAGCTACAATAGCAAATTATACCTTTGTTTCATATAGCTGCTGCAACCGTCCTTTCTCTTGAGAAAGTTGCTTAATTTTGTTAGTGCTTTTCTCAGATTCCTTATTTGCATCTCTAAGCTTTCTCTCAAGTATTTCCTTTTCTTTTCGAAGATCTAAAGATTCCTTCTCACCTCTTACATACTTCATTACCATTGCTTCTTTTTCTTGACGTGCCTCTTCATATTTCTTATTGGCCTTTAAGAAATATTATTTAGCATTAATAAGAAATATTTTCAAATAAAGATATATAAAAGTAAGTATTTTTCTAGACTATAACCAATTTTTTAAACATTCCCAGGACCTGTGCCATAAAATTTGAGGATAAAAGGAAAAATTCAAAGTTATAGAAAATGACAGAGCGCTAATATTTGCTTTTACCCTCTTCTATTTCTTTTACTTTGGCTGATATGGTTGTTACTTTCATTTATTCCTCCATCTCTGCTTCTCACCATTTTCTGAGGAAGAAACCTATCAGAGGCCACATAAGGCAAGCATCTTTATTTTGAAACTTCGTTGGAGTCAGCCAGCAGGAGGCACTTGACAGCAGCTGAGAATTAAGTAAAGTGAGATCTGTCCTTTCTAATTACCAGAGGTTGGCAGAAGGCCATTGTTCCCATTAGGTGGCCTTTTATTCTGATTGACCTTATCTGCTTTTGGATCTCCAGCACTGTTACCTAAATAAACTTTTCTTTCTAGAGTACCCAGACTCAGATATTTTGTTATAACACACAACAGACTAATAAAAAGAGATACCTACATAAGGATGTATGACTCTGTACATATACGTGTGTATATATATGATCTGATATATAACCAAAATGTCAGTAACTAGGTATGAAATAAGGAATGGGATATAAAAAGCTGTCAGTCAGAAAAAGCAGAAATACAGATCAAGAGCTTTCTAGCATATTCTTTCTGAGTTAATTTTGTAACAATTAGCATTACTTAACATACTGCCATAATTTTAAAAGGTGACTTTTAATGCAAATAAAAATGGCCTATTGTTACAGAGTTAGTTTAAAAAGAATCAATAAACCACCAAGTTATAATAATGAACTATAAATACCTGTTCCATCCTTTGAGCCATCTCTTTGTGCAACTGCTGAACGGCATTTTTAGCTGCAACTTCTTGAGCTACTAGTTTATCTTTGGAAGCTTTAACTTCTTTATTAAGTTCTTCTATTCTTGTTTCTAACTGTAAAGAAAATTACTTTTAGTTTTTTTTATAGCTGTACCAAACAGACTTAATATCTGAAATATATACATTATAAACAAATGTAAGGAATAAACTCTAATTATAGAAATCAAAATTATTTGCAATGTTTCTATGTTCCACTGGAATTTTATTAGTATAAATCTGAAGACTGTGATACATTAAACTGTAAGCCCTATGGTATCTATCAAGGAATAATTTAAAGAAATGTAGTGAAAATCTAATGAAAAAAATAAAAATACTTTATTACTAAATGGAGCAAAAGAAAGCACAGAAGGAGCAATGGGGGAAGAAAGTAAAATGGCAAATGCAAACCCAAATGAATTCAATAGTAAGTGAAAGTGGATTACATAATCATATCAAAAGGTAGAAACTGACAAACTGGAATGAAAAGCAAAACCCAACTACATGTTTTCTATAGGAGACACACATTTGAATGATAGAAGACTGAACATAAATGGAAAAAGATAATTGCATTTGAACAGCGATCATAGGAAAGTGGGAAAAGCTATAGTAGTAACAGACAAAAGAGACTGGAATAAAATGTTACAGGAGGTGAAAGACATTTCGTAATGATAAAAAGATCAATTTATCAATGAGATCTAACATACATCTAACAACACAGCAACAAAATGCACCAAAAAAACAAACAAACAAAAAAAAAACCCTCCAATCCCAAAACTAACCAAAATGAAGAGGGAAATAGGCAAATTACTAATACCTAGAGACTTCAATACCCTATTTCCAAAACTGGACAGAGGCAGATGATTAACAAAGAAGAGATCTGAATTACATTTAAAACAGTTGGATCTAACACCTCTATATAAAACTCTATCCAATAACAGCAGAATATACATCTTCTGCACATGGAGTATTTTACAAAATAGAACAAATGCTAGGCTATAAACAAGTTTCAACAAATATAAAAGACTAGTATCATACAAAATATATTCTCTAGTCATAATAGAAAATTCACAGAAAGAAATTTGGGAAACTCACAAATTTGTGAAAATTAAATAATATACTGCTTAAATAATCAATGGGAAAAATCACAAAGGAAATCAGTAATAGTCAATGAATAAAAATACATAACATGCCAAACTTACTAGATGTAATATGTAGTAGAAAATCACTACCTATACTGTAAAGAAAAAAGATCTCAGATTAATAGCCTAAATTTCTGTCTTAAAGTACTGAAAGAAGAAAATAAAAGATTAAAGTGAAAAAATGAAATAGACAATAAAAAGTAAAGAAACAATCAAAATAAAAAGTTGGTTCTTTGAAAAGATTAATGAACTTTAACTTTAAGCTAGACTGAAACAGAAGACTAAATTACTATAATCAAAATGAAAAATTACTGCTAAATTCACAGAAATAAAAGACAAACACCATGAATAATTTGAGATGAAACTGACAGTTATTAGTAAAATACTACCAAAACTGTCTCAAGAAGAACACGAAGCCCTGTATAGACATATAACAAGGACTGAATTGAAAAATAAATAAAAGAGTAACAACAAAACAGTAACAAGATGAACCTAATGTTGTTTTTTCCAGTCCTGGGGATTGAACCCCAAGACCTCATGCATGATAGACAAGCAATTTCTACCACTGAGCCACACCTACCCCCCTCTTTTAAAATTTTGTTTTGAGATAGTCTTGCCAAATTGCTCAGTCTGGCTTTCAATTTATAATTCATCTGCCTCCATCTCTGAGTAGCAGGGATTACAGAGTAGCTGTGATTTTGGGAATTATTATGGTTCAGATCTAGATGTCCCCTCAAAGCTTCGTATGACTATGGGTGTGGCTCTGAAGAGCATTATAGCTGACTTGCTATTATGAGGAAAATAATAACGCCAATTACAATACACTGGAACTTATGAGACACAATGAAAATAACTCTATGGGAGACATTTATAGTAGTAAATTTCCACATGAGAAAAAAAGTGTGAACTCAAATAACCTAAAAACTTTAAGTATCTAAAAAAGAGAAAATTAAACCCAAAGCACATATGAAGAAAGAAATTTTAAAAATCTGAGCAGCAAATAATGCAACTAAGACTAAGAAAATAATACAAAGAATCAATGAATTAAGAGTTTGTTCTTTGAAAGATTAAATAGACAAACCTTTAGCTGATATTATCAAGAAAAGAAGAAAGAAAAGGGTCAAATCCAATTATCAGTGAAAAGGGTGAAATCACAACATCCTGCAGAAATCCAAAAGATACTTTGAGAACCTTTACTCTAATAAAATGGAAAACACAGAAGAATGGACAGAATCTCTGACATATGAATTACCAAAGCTGAAACAAGAAGATATTAAAATACTAAATAATCCAGTATCAGTCAATGAAATTGAAGAAGTAATTTAAAAACTACCAAAAAAGAAAAAGACAGGTCCTGATGTAGTAGTGACTGAATTCTACAAGAAGTTTAGAGATATCTAATGCCACTATAGTGAAAAACAATACCCCTCATTCCTAAAAACAATTATTACCCTAAAACAAGGGAAGAATGTAACCAAAAAAGAAAACTACAGTCCAGTCTCCCTAATGAACACAGATGCAAATATCCTTAACAAAATACTGGCAACTAGAATACAGCAAATCATCAGTAAGATTATATACATAACCAACTGGGATTCATCTCAGGGATGCAGGGATGGCTCAACATATGAAAATCAATAATTGTAATACACTACATTAACAGAACCAAGGACAAAACCACATGATCATCTCAAAAGATGTGGAAAAAGCATTTGACAAAGTTCAAAGCTGTTGCACAGATTTAAAGCAATCCTGATCAAAATACCAATAGCATACCTTATAGAACTATAGAAACATTCCTAAAATTCATTTGGAATCAGAAGAGACCTAGAATACCTAAAAGTAATTCTGGGCCACAAAAACAAGGGAAGGGGCATCATGATTTCTGACTTGAAATTATATTACAAAGCTACAGAGATTTAAAAACAAACAGCATGATATTGGCAAAAAAACAGATCTGAAGATCAATGGAACACAATAAAAGATGCAGATGCAACTCTAGACACACTCAACCACTTTATCCTTGACAGAGGAGCCAAACACCTTCCCTGGAAGAAAGCCTCTTTAATAAATAAGGCTGGGAAATCTGGCTTTCCACATGCCAAAGATTAAACCTGGATCCAAACCTCTCGCCATGCACTAAACTAAAACTGAAACTGATCAAAGATCTTAAATATTAAGAGAAATACTTAGTCAGCTAGAAGAAAGCATAGGTAAAACTCTTGAACAAATCCCCAATCCCACAGGAAATATCACAAAGAATCAACAACTGTGATCTTATCCTATTAAAAAAAATTATGCACAGAAAAAAACCCAAAAAACTATCAATAGAGTGAAGATACAACTCACAGAATTGGAAAAATTTTTACCAGCTATTTCTCAGACAAAGGACTAGTACCTAGAATGTATAAAGAACTAAAAAAAAAAAACAAACAAACAAACAAAAAAATCAAGACCCCCCCCAAATTTAAAGATCTAGTCCAAAAATGGGAATCTGAAATGAACAGACGATTTTCAAAGAAGTACAAACAATAATATATGAAAAAATGTTCAGCATCACTGGTCATTCAACAAATGCAAATTACAACACTGAGATTCCATCTCTAAAAAGAATGGCTATCAAGAAACCAACCAATAACAAATTCTAGCAAAGCCATGGGAGAAAAAGGAACCCTTCTTCACTGTTGGCAGGGGTGTAAATTGGCACAACCAATATGCAAATCAGTATGGAGAATCCTCAAAAAACTAAAACTAGAGGTTCCATTTGACCCAGCTATTCTTTGATCTTTCTTGAAAAGTTTAAAAGTATCATACTATAGTAATGAATGCATACCCATGTTTATAACAGCACAATTTGTATTAGCTACATCTTAGAAAAAGCCCAGATGCATATCAACAGATGAATGGATACAGAAGATGTGATACACACACACACACACACACACACACACACACACACACACACACAAAACGAAGTATTACTCTCCCAATAAAGAAGGAAAACCTGAGACATTTTCAGGTAAATGGATTCAACTTCAGATCATACTTTCACAGTAAAATAAATCAGACACAAGGAGGGGGAAGAGGGAAAAGAAACGGGGGAAAAAAAAGCATAGAAAGAAAAAGTAGAAACAAAGCTTTGTTAATGAGGAACAAGGTAAAAGTAGGGGAGAGGAATGGGGGGAAAATTAGCATATATTATGTACAGGTACAAACTCCCTGTGATGAATGTGATCATTAGGTATATCAAAAGTGTACCAATAAAATTATTTGTAATAAACAAATAAAAATAAGGGAGGCAAAGCCAACTTGCTATTAGGAGCTGAAGTCTGCAAGAGAAAGGTCACTGTGGGAATGAGCAGGAAGGCCTTACCTCCCCTCCCTTGTCCACCCGCTCTTCCCTTGTCCACCCCTGCTTCCTCAACTCCTTGATGTGAGCAGCTGTTTCTCTGTGATGCTCCTCTGCCATACTTCCCTGCCTTGGAGCCACAGATTACAGACTAATACCTAGAAACTATAAGCCAAATAAATTTCTCTTCCTTTAAATTGTGGGTGCTAGGTAGGGTGTGTTAGCAGTGAGCAATATGACTAAGACAGATTCAATATTCTCTTTTAAAAAGGCAAAAATCACTAATAAGCAGGTGAAAGCAAGAGCTCTGCTTTCATTTCACCTGCTCATAAAGTATATTTCCAGCATGGAATTTGTGTTACACATACATTATAATAGTTTCATTCTCAGTGTTTTTATGAACTACACTATGAATACTATGAGTACAGATATGTATCATATGAATGATACATATGAATACTATGAGTACAGATATGTATCATAAAGTTTTGGTCATCAGCAATTATCTAACTACCAAAATATATGGGTTGGTACCATTATTAACACTTCTTTACACTTTAACCTTTGAAGTTTGATTTACCTGGAGTGGTCCTAGAACACAAACAAGCCGGGATTTAAATACCATGCATAAAAATTTATAAATGTCATTATCTTCCAGCTGTATACAGGTACATTAAATACACACAAGGCATAAACTTGGTTTAACTTTATTACCAATTACTTACTTTTACTTTCGTTATGTAACTATGAAAGATGAAGCAAAAGGAAATGACAATGACAAGCTACATAAAGTTTCTGTCAGTGGATTGCATGTACGGTCCCATAAGATTATATTTCACTTAGTGGTGCAGGCATCTTGGTTAAGTATACCCTATGATGTTCAAACAAGGATGAAGTCACCTAATGATGCATTTCTTACAACATAATCACTTGCTTAACTTCTTTTTTTTTTTGGGGGGGGGGGTGTACTGGGACTCAAACTCAGAACTCCCTGCTTCTCAGATAAATGCTGTGTTGCATGCTATGTCCCCAGCCCTAACTTACTTTTACAGCTAAAGTGCCTCTAGTCCTGTCCATAGAAGGAAAACCCAACTCAAAGATAACAGCTCAGCTTTGTTATTAGGACTAAAAATGTTCTTTATTGATCTATCTATTCGCGCTTATTTAAAAAAGAAAGAAAAAGGCTTGGGGAAGTTAGCCAGATACAATTTAAAGTGTAAGACCCAGTATTCATAGTGTAGTTCATAAAAACACTGAGAATGAAACTGCATTATAATGTAAGTGTAACACAAATTCCATGCTGGAAATATACTTTTAGTTAGTTATTGCTTCTTCCCTTGTTTGGTTAAAAATAATCTAGTTGACAATCAAATCAAATCACCTTATTATTTTGAACATTGTAAGTTCTATTATACTTAGAATAGTCACACAAACCATAAAAGTAGGAATTTACATATAAGAAAGTCAGGTTATGATTCCACTTCATAAGAGAATGCTTTAAATAACAAGCAATTCTCTGCATTTAAAACATTTCAGTTGCAGAATTTCAATTTACATATAAATTTTCAGGATTATCTAAAGGATGGTCTTTAAAATTTTTTATCTTTTTACCTGTTTAATTGTGCTCATATGCTGCTTCTCTGTTTCTGTTCTTTTTTTAAGTTCTTCTCTTAAACTGTCTTTTTCTGAACAAATGTCTAGGATGAGTTCTTGATGCTTCTTATTTTCTTTAATTAACCTAAATATAAAAGGGTAGTATGAATAAGACATAACTAAAAATGGAGAAATAGTGAGAAATATAATCTATCTAAAGATTAGCGTACAGATATGTATCATTTTAAGTTAACATCCCTCAATAATCTTTTTACAATAAAATATTTTCACACAAGAACAAAATTTTGGGGCTGGGCTATAGCTCTGTGGTCAAGCACCTGCCTGGCGAGTTCGAGGTCCTGAGTTTGATTCCTGACACTAAAAAGAGGACAAAATTTATACGTTTCTCAGAAAGTGTCCTTGTCATTATGTGACTGTACTTTATTAATGCTAGGATATCTCTAATCCTGTCTAATGAAGAAATGCAGCTCAACTTAAGACATGAACCTAAGCATTTGTTTTGTTTATCCATTCATCAGATATTTTGCAAAACATTCTCTGGCCAATCAGGTATTAACTTTTTCCTAGAAATTTAAAATCAAGAGAAACAGGGTTGCTACTGCTATCTAGTGGGGAGAAATAAGAAATGCTGTCAGGTTTCTTACAATTCACAAGGAAGCCACCAGGGCTACAATTATTTGGCCCAAAATGGCAATAGGGCCAACGGTGAGAAATCCAGCTTTAGATTAAAACCGTCCACCAAATGCTCAGATCTACATAACTAAGAAACAGGTATTGTAGGTTAATAGTAATAGCTACTACCTAACACTTTCTGCACACCTATTATTTGCCAAGTTTAGCCTTAAAAAAGTGTTATTTTACTTAATATTCAAAGTAAGTTTATGAAATTTTCATCATAATTTGTTTTATGAACTTAAAAGTGAAGCCTACAACTTGTTCTAGGTCATACAACTAGTAAGTGGTTGACCTGAGTTCTGAAGTCATAAGCTTAGGCTTTTTGCACTTCTGTTAGAGGATCACACATTCATTCAACACATGATTACTGGGTAGCTACTGTGTACCTTATTATTCTGTATGCAGATAATAGTATGTCAGCAAGCAAATAATCTTTGCCCCTCTTGGAGCTTACATTCTAAGAAAGAAAATTAAAATACACACATGTAAACATGTATGTTACACAGTGATTAAATCCTATTAAAAACATAAAAGAAGAGAAGATGATAGAAAGTAGTCATAAAGGAAGACAAGATGATAGAAAATAGTGACAGGTCTCTCTAAGGAACTGGTACTTGAACACAGGAATTCAGTGAAGAAATAAACATACAAATGTTTGAGAAAGAGGCAAATGCAGCATTCATGTTTATTTAAGCCATTCATGACATAGTGGTTTTAACTTATTTATATGATTAAGATTATAATCAATTTTCCACAGAAAACTTGAGATAAGAATCCTGGCTACAATTCAGAATTAAAGGAGGGGGAAAGAAGAAAAAACACACAAACATTCAAATTGTTTTTGCTTTTGTTGTTGCTGTTTTGTGTACTGCAATGTTGGAGATCAAATCCAAGGCACATCTGCTAGTCAAGCATTCTGCTACTGAGCTACAACCACAGACCAAAGTGATTCTTACATGCCAAATATACATTATTTCCATACCTGTTTCTAAGTAAAAATTTTGGTTGGGACATTGGAAAACATTGATATATTAGAAAATACAAGAATAAAAAAACAATGAATGGTGGTTGTCAGGGGAGATGTTAGTCAAAGGCTACAAATTTTCAGTTCTAAGTTGAATAACTCTTGGAGACTTACTGTAAAATACAGTGATAACAATTAGTAACATATACTTGAAATTTGTTGAAAGTAGATCTTGACACACAAAGTTATCTAATTTAATTGTGCTAATCATTTCACAAAGTATTACATTATCATGGTGTACACCTAAAATATGTACAATTTTGTCCTTAGTAAAGCTGGGACAAAACAAAGGAATGGAAGTACCAAGAAATACATTTGGAAATATATGGATAGGTGAAAATTTCAAAGAAAATGAAACATCTTTTTCATAAAAATTAAATGAAGGTAAAAATTTTAAAAACTGAGTTGTTTCACAGCTGACCTGAATCAACAAAGCATCTCATTTGCAATTGAAAAGGTTATGTATGTAAACGAAGATCAACCTACATTGAAAATAATACATGACCTCTGTAACATCTTAATGTCCCATTAGATAAGTACTGTGCTCAGAGATGAAAAGCCTTTAACAGTTTGGCCAACGTAGCAGAGCTAGCAAAGAGAATGAGGACTATCCCAGCTCCAGGATTCTGTTTAAGAACTCTACATGCTGCCTCTACTCTGAAAGGATGGAACCCCTCTAAAATCAATTTTTTATACACCTAAAATCATTAGATAAATGTAACAATTTTTAACTAGTTGACTTCAAATAACTACACTTATAAAACCTCTAAAGCCAAACAAAAAGGCTCCGGTTTTAGTCTTATATTGACTTGCAAGTGATTCTGAAAACAAGTAACACAATTTATGTGTTTCAGGTTCCTCATTTCTAAAATGGGGATATTACTACTACTACTACTACTACTACTACTACTACTACTACATGGAGATAACAGTACTAATAATAGTATCACACAGAAGATTCCATGAGTTAATACATATAATCTGTCGGGCACATAATTAATAGTGTGTTACTCTCTTATTATTATTAAATATATACCATAAAATTTACAAGAGATATATGAAAATGTTACAGTTCACATCTAAGCAAAATGAAGATACATGAGAGGATATCTCAAGGAGATAATCTAAAATAATAGGTACAGAGAAAAGGGAAATGAGAAAGCTACCTTTTAAAAGTACAAGTGGTAGAAACACTGACAGTTCAAGTATAAAAAAGTACAGTAGACATTTATTCACATAATAGCACTATCCCAATAAGAATATAAATAGGAACATTATTTTGGGATAGTATTAAGAAGGGCATTGGAATCTTGAAGATTTTTTTGTACAACTGTTTCCACGAGCAGCATTATTTAGAATAGTCAAAATGTAGAAGGAACTCAAATGTCCATGAATGAATAAACACAATGTGGCATACACACAGAATGTTACAAAATACTCAACTTTAAACAGTATGGAAATTCTAGTCAAGTGTGGCAACATTTGCCTTTAACACACCCAGCACTCTGGGAGCCCAAGGTAGGAGGATAACAAGGTTCTAGCTCCGTCTGGCAATTTGGTAACTCAGCAAGAGCCACAGTCTCAAAATAAAAAATAAAAAGGGCTGGGGAAATAGCTTAGTGCAAAAGCCCTGGATTTAACTGCAAGTGCTGAAAAAAAAGGGATGGAAACTCCAATACACATTATAATATGGATAAACTGAGTATGCTAGGTGAAATAAAATAAGACTGACAAAAAGACAAACACCATATGATTTAACTTAAATGATGTATCAAGAGTAATCATATTCACAGAAACAGAGAGCAGAATGTATCTGCCAGGAACTGGGTCCTGGGGGAAATAGGGAGTTATAGTTCAATGGGTAGAGTTTCAGATCACAAGGTGAAAAATTCTTTAGGTTGTCTGTATAATGTGAACATATGTTAGTAGTATTGAACTATAAATTTTTTAAAATGATAAAATGGTAAATTTTATGTCCATTTTATCACAACTAAAAATAAGCTAAAATACAGAAAACGGGAGACTGGCCCTAAATATTAAGAAGTTAAAGTTCATTGAGTAAACCAGCTGGCTTGGGGAAAACTGATCCATTGAACAGGATATTCTGGTAGAGTAGAAGCAAGGAGATCATGAGAAGCCAATTCCATATCAAGCAATATTTGGACTGTGGTACACACATTATACACACACTCCCCCCTAATTTAAAGGACAGCTTTTTAAGTATCATATTTTTTTTAAAAAAAGAATCTGTATGTATCAGTATGTATTTAATGAAGAGTAATATTCTATTCCCCTTTCTTAGAGGTTACAAGAGTACCTAAATATATTCATCACTTAGCTATACAAACGTAGAATAAAAATATAGAATGAAATTAAACTACTGTTAAAACGGAAGTGTACAAATTTAAGACATCTAAAAACAGAAGTCTGTGTTATTTACTAGATAATAATCAACTAACCTGTCTGCCTTTAAATTTTAATTTTTTAAACCAATTAATTTATAGTGAGAATTTTAAGGAAACAAACTTTATGCCTTCTAATTTTCTTCTGAATTTCTCTTATTTTTGACAGATAGTGGTACCTCAGTTCATGAACTTAATTTGCTTACAATTATGGAAAAGATTGTCAGGTATGCTTGTGCAGGAAAGATGGCCACTGTGTGTCTGTCACTCAATGTAGTGTTTGCAAACAAAAACAAAATTTGCCAAATGCTTTCATCTGCAAACGAAATTGTTTGAAAACAAGTGCTCCTGAAAACAAGTGCCCTTCTGTATTAGTGATATCAAACCCTTTAGAGACAAGTGTCCAAAATGCAGCCCCAAACTCATTTATCACAAAGTCCCAACACTACAATTAAACCTGAATAGTAAGGTTTTCGTTTAGAAAAAAAAAACTCATACATTAACATCTTTTGTCTTAAAAGAAAAATAACACATGTGCATAAGTTTGCCACCACTGTTCTACAGTCTCATAAAAATAAAGAACATGGCTGAGTATATAGCGTAGCTGGGAAAGCACTTATCAGCATGTACAAGGTGCCCAGTTTAAAACTCAGAATTGTAAAATAATTTTTAAAAAACAAACACTTTGGTCACCACTATAAAATGTTCTAGCTCTTTAATGAACTTACATTATTTATTTATTTTATATTTAAAATATTAAATTACTAAAAGTTGTTCACATTTGTTTAATTATTTAGTAAATATAGTTTTAGCAACTATGTGCACGGTTCTATTACGGAATTAAAAATAGACAAGGTGATATTTTCCTTACAAGAATACAATTTCTAATCCCTATGAAACAGCTACCTAAAGAAACAAGTTTACCTTTTTATAGTATGTTCTTGTTGCAAATACTTATCTTGCACGCACTTTTCAAACAGAACTAATGCATGTTCTCCTTTATTCATTCCATTTGGTACTTGGCGTTCTGCAAACTCAGTAGATAAGAGTTCAGATTCCATTTTTTCCAAATCTTCCGATATTGAAACAGTCTTTATTTTTGAAATAAGTTCCTTGGTGCAGTCTGTATCATACGGACTTTCTGAATAAGCCTTTTGATTAGCAGCCTCTGTAAATGTAGATGACCTTAATTCTGCCAATATTTGTGTTACTGTCTGTTCAGTTTCACTTGTTGACATTTGCTTTGTGAAATCTCCACTGGAAAAGTTAGCTGTTTGTTCAGAATTTTCAGGGCATGTGTCTATTTTAGCACAAGAATCCTCACCTCCACTGTGATCTGGAACATAATTTTCAGAAGCTTCAGTTTGACAGTGTTCATTAGGCTGACATAAGATTTTGTCAAGGTTTAATGACAACAGTTCAGATTCCTTTACTAATTTGGAGCTCTCATCACCAGAAAGTGAGTTACATGAGTCTTCTGTTAACTCAGGTGTTTTTCCAACATGTTTTTCAGAAGAAATGGAGGCTATGTGTTCAATCTCTGACATGCTGACTGGTACCAATTCACTTTCCATTTCTTCAAATCCACTCCTGATTTTTGTTTTACATCTGAGAAATTAAAACATCAAAATTTTTAAAAGTTTTTAAAGCAAGACCATGTAAATCTTTGCATACACTCCATGATACAGATTAACCAAGATCACAAATTTTATCAGTAAGAATACATTTATAAAAGCCTTTGAGAAGAAAGAAAACAGTCAAACCAAGCTGACTATACAAAGTCTGTCTGTCCTTCTCTTCAGTCAGCCAAGTTACTAACTTCTGTTTCAGTCTGGCACTCCCCAATCATCCCTTTAAAGGTATTAGACAAAAAATAATACTTGTAACTTGAAGCATTAGTGCCAAAATATATGTAGAATTCCTTTAGTTCTGTGAGAGGAAAAGATAATAGCAAGATCTATATGAAAAATATTAAGAAAAGGAAAGCAGCAATGAAAAGCACTAGAAGAGAAACCACAAAACAATGTACTTTCATGAGGGTAAAAATTTACTGAGAAAGAAAACTAGACAATAGCAAGACATAGCTACCTATAACTCAGAGGCCTAACTCAGAAATAAAAGGAAATAGAACATGAAGGATTCCAGATAAAAATTAATTTTCATGCAGGCAACATCCGGGAAGTACCATGGTGATTTTCAGACCTCATCAGGAACAAATCAATGCTCAGTGCAAATCAAATGGAGTCCATATGCACCGCCAGGTCAAAAAAAGCGCTATTAAAATTAATTTGATAAGGTTAGAATATATTTTGGTATCATTTACAGAGGTTATGAATTCAATTAATTTATAAAAATTAGCCAACTTTAAATACTACCTTGTGATAAATACAAAATCTTACAATGTTTGACTTGCCAACCTCTTCTGTCAGGTATCAACAAAGCATATGCAAGACAGATGAATTGTGAAAGCTTTATGAAGTTAGATTAAAAAGTAGGCAGACAACTGTTTGGACAAAAAGTAGAACAGACTTCCAAATGAGATATATATTAATGGAAGATCAACAAAATAAAATTTTCACATAACAAAAAGTTCCATGTTTGCATCAGATTATGAAAGAGATTGTGGTAAGAGGATAGAAAAGGGTTAGTTAGAATACTAAGCAGGACTGAGTTTTGTTAGTAAGGACAAATAATAAACTTTAATGCTCATATACTTGATTACATATAATTTCTATCACATAGGTTCTGAAATATTAGTCATATTAAAATCCTTTTTAGAGATAAGAGTATCACTATGCAGTACAGGCTGGCCTCAAACTCACAGCAATCCTCCTGCCTCGGCCTGAGTGCTGGGATTACAGGCATGCACCACTATGCCCAGCTGTCAAATTAAAATCTATAAGCACAGAAATGATGTGATAAAATTAGTATTTGAGGAACATTATTCTAGGAATACAGAAAATTAGAGGAAGGCCAGTTTGTCTGATAAGTATCCCTATCTGTCAATTTAGAAAGTGCTTTCAGGAATCAATCAATGTAGCCCATTGACCTTAGTACTCTGCTTCTCTGCATAACATTTATTTCAAAGCAACTACACAAAAATTATCAATATGTTGTTATCAATAACCAAGCCAAAGCTCACACTAGTGTTAAAGGATTGGTTTAGAAAACACAAATATACACAGTTAAGTAAATAAAAAGTTTCATATGCATGATATATTCTAAAATCTAGTATAAAGTCAAATGAGTTTCAAGCAGGTACACTGAACATTACCTTACCTATAGTAATGCACTTTAATAATTTGTGAATGTGTTACTGATGAACTCTATCAATTAAGAAATCCAAAAATGAAGCAGTTTTAAACATGATTATTCAATGCTATTCCAACAGAATTGGAGACTAAAGCAGTCAGAAAGTAATTGATAGGGGATACAAAAATTTTTAAAGAGAGAATAAGACTATAAAGGCATTGTAACTACCCAGCATACAGTTGAAAAGAACTTTATCAATGACTTTGTGGCTGTGTGCCATGATTTGTCAACAGAAAAACATTAAGCAAATACCAGTTCATTATTCTCTCACTTGAACCCAGGTTCAATCCTAGTCTTTTTTCCTCTTAGAATTCGTCAACTTAGGTTAACTTGAAGCTACAACTAACAGTTGACCTACACAATCATTTTCAGTCTTGTATCCTTGAGTTAGATATCTATTTATCTTCTTCTTAGTGTATGTGTGTCTCTGCATTAAAGTTTCTCTGAGTACAGGCATTTTTCGTGGATGTTTCTCCATAATTTCAAACTCAACAGAGCCAATTCAAAATCATAATTATAGTTTTATAATTACATACCTCCAACTAATCTTTTCTACTTTTTTCCCCTAATTTTTTGGTCAATGGTACCATTTTTCTTAGTCATCTGACTCCTTCCTTGAATTTGTCCTCATGTTCTCTTAACAATTTCAGATCTGCATTTCTATCATTAACATCCCCATCCCAGAACATATCCAGGCCTCTGGTCACATCAAATAAGGAACATCTAACTGCTGATTTGTCAATTTTCCTCCATCTCCTATTTCCCTGCCTACAACTCCAAATAAAGGAACAAAGGTAATACAAACACAGGTTACTTGGGATAGCCTAGGGGTGAGAAAGCATCAGATCAAGTGACAGGCTGCCCAATCCAGAGAAGAGGGTTAAAGTTTGAAGATACTGGCTCTGCAAAACACAGGGGACCTGCTTTTGTTAAAAAAAAAAAAAAAAAAAAAAAAAAAAACAACAACAGGGGCTGGGGATTTAGCTCAGCGGCATAAGCACCTGCCCTGCAAGCAGGTAGTCATGAGTTCGATCCCCGGTACTGATAAAAAGGAAAAAAACCAACAACAACAAAATCACATTCTTGAAGGTTGTCTTCAGTGGCAAAAGGACCCAGGAACTACAACTGGCCCTATAACGTCCACACACATCAAAGGTCACCATCAAATGCAGCCAGAACCAGAATGAGGCCAAGGGTTTCTTTCCTCTTTAAAAGATTGAGATAAAAGCTCTGCCTCTGCAGGCTGGCTGGCTTCCCCCAATTAGGCTGGGCTTGGAAGACAAAGGGGCTGAACCAGTCTCAATCAGATTACACCTCTTCAGGCTAAGGGGTTAGTAATTTCAATTTTCTTCAAGAACGTGATTTTATTGTTATTTTTTTAAATGACAGGAACCTATCCTAATTCCCATGATCATCAAAAGTAATGTACATGCTATATAACATCAGACCATATGGGAGTGCACTTCAGAAGAAAGGTGACAGGCTGGGAATGTTTCATGCAGTGTTTAATGAGACTTCTCAATAGAGACTCATTTAAAAATTAAAGCCTGATCTATGCAACAATGCCCTGTCTCAAAGGCAGGGAAAAACAAGACTCATTTTTTTAGAAAAATAGAGCTGAAGAATGTCAGAGTGTTTGCCTAGCACTTGTGAGATCTTGAATGTGATCACTAGCAGCACAATAAATAACCTTTTCATTTGTATCCCCAAGTTGAGATTGTTCAGTAACAGTTACAGTTGTACTACTTTTCCACTCTTATCTAACACATTCCTACAATTCTAGTGCTTCACTATCATTTACGAGTTTTACATTCATCCAAACAATCTACCATGTTACTTCCATCTGAAATATTTTCTCTTCCAGCTATCTAGATACTAATGTTTGACTGCATGATTGACTCTAAAGTCACGTTTCTTCAAATTTTCCCTCATCACACCATCAAAAATGACATGTAAAATTAAAACATACTGTATTTATATTCAGCAAGCAGATAGTGCCTTTCACACAATATATCTGAACAGGCAGTCTTCCACTTTTTAAATGACTTCTGTTCTTTCAAAAGGAACCTCACTCTGAACTGAATCAAAATCCTTAAGTATCAAGCAATGTGGTGGTAATAATAGATAAATCTGACATATAGATTTGCTACTGCATTTATACTCACTGCAAAAATGTTCAGTAAATCCAGTGAGACTTACTGGGTTTACATAACGATCTGGGGTCCAAACAGCACTTAGTAGGTAACAGTAAGATTTAATAATTTGGAAGACAGCCCAGAACAATAAAAATTTATCTTATATCCTGCTCAATATTTTTCTGGGGGGAAGGGTGACTATCCTACTTTATTACCTAAGTTTAGAATGTCTTGTAAATTAAGAAAGGCTACATCTAACCTCAAAAGTTAAGTATTTTCTGTATCTATCAGTAATATGCTCATGATCCTTGAAAAAGTCATCATGTAAACTGGCATTTGATAACCACTTGGAGCTTGCAAACTTAATTTTCTCACACTCAAATTTGTACTGACAGAAGATCAAAAAAAAAAAAAAAAAAGGAGTTAAAGGTACCTACCTATCTATCTATCTCTAAAGGCTTAAAAACCACTCAACAATGGTAGCAGACAAAAACAAACCAAAAATAAATAAATAACATGACATAAAAGAGACTTTGGTTATGTCCACAATTAACTAGGAAAAAATAGCTTAGTGTTCTGGCAGGCAATGTTAATAATGCAGACTAACTTGGATGCTATCCAGGTTTTTCTCTTTGGGGAGGGAAGTTGTCACGGAAACTAAACATTCATTTATTAAATTTAGAAATGCTTGTACAAATCAAACTCATTCACAGATATATGTACTAACTACCAATTACAAATATACATGTAGATATCATAATATGTTGCTTTTTCAAAGTAAAAAGACTTTAACTTTTAATAATTTAATCATTAGGAGAAATACTGTATTTTAAAACGTTAGTCACAAAATTGCTCTTAATTCAAGCATTTATTTTCCTTACAGTTGTTTCTGACACAGTACTACAGGACCAATTCACACTTCAAAACTTTCAGTACGTGAGAACTGGTTTCGCTCTTGCTGGAGCTCATCAGCTGTAGGCAACTGGTCAAGGAACATTTTTCATTTGCTTTAAAGTCAAACATTACTCCTTTTGGATTTTGTTTCTTAATGAAGGAAACTTTTTCTATAAAATCATTTCTATGCAAAAACTATATAAGTGGAAGCAATGCTTTTAACAGTTTTTAGTTACATTGTTTTTCCTAATTAGCAATATATATGAT